GATTGAACCCCAGGTCGTGCGCACAGTTTTGGCTGCAGTACAGCAGTTTAACCACTGCGCCACGAGGCTGTGTTGCAGCTAGACTGTTAACTGTTGCAGGATATAATGGCCATATGGCCCCAATATGGAACCACCTGCAGTGGTCATCAAGTGATTTATTGAGCTCAAATCAAGGTGTTGTCTTTAACCTTTAAAGCCCTAAACCCCTTGGAGCTCGTCTGTCTAAAGGTCCACCTGTGTCATTATGACCCTGTAAAGATGGAAAGACCCTCTTTAAAATACCAGCAGTTTTTGAAGCCCACCTAACAAGCATGCAGGAGATGATATTCTCCTGTGTGGTTGCTTGACTATGGAATGCACCACCTTCCAACTTGTGATCTATTTTCCCTCCAACTGATTTTAAGAAATAAGTATAAGCACGTACTTTTGGACTGGCATAGGGTATCAAATAATAATAGTGGTATCCTATGGACCTTGGCACACAGTTACAAGTCCTGTACCATAGGACTGTTCTCTAACAATGCAGTTATATGGATAGTTAGATGTAAACCACAGTGTGTTCACTGGGGTCGAGGTGGGGATAGCCATATCTATTGCTGTAAATTCAACAAGTTGTGGGACTTCAAAGACTAACAACCTCTTTTTGGCATAAGCTTTCGTGGACAGCAGTGTCTCATGAAGTAGGTTGTAGTCCACAAAAGGTCTCTAAGATTCTTGGTTGTGTTCAGTTGGGCTTTCTCCCAGGCAAATGTATTCAGGAGTTTAATCTTCCAGTAAGCACATCCAACAGCAACAATTGTCATGCCACAAAACAGCAGCAGCAGCGGCAGCAGTGAAAGAGGAAATAAAAAGAAAAGGCAGGATCTGGATTTCCTTGGGAGATATTCCTGCTGGCATATTCCTTACAAACACATACCTCGTTGACACAAGTTGGGCCCAGGAAGCAGCTGACTCCTAAAACTGGCAATGTGGGGGCTTCTCACCAGCTGTCCTGCAGTCCATAGGCAGAACCAAGAGGACAAAGTGTTTTCCTCTGTGTTTCTGTGTGTTCGAATATGCGTGTGTGTGTGTTGGCAAGGAGGTAGTTGAGGACTTTTCTTTTTTTCTTTTAATATGAAATGTAATGGAAAGGTCAGACACATTATGAAAAAAATATATTATTCCATTGCTTGATTGCAATCGACAACTTAATTACTGCAAAAGATTCATTCTCATAGTCCTTCCTTGTAAAATGACTTCAAAGCCTTGACCTTCTCATCTGGGCTTACAAAAAGGAAGTGACTGGGCACTGAATCTCTGTTTGTGGACTCAGTGTTCCACCACCCCCATTCTTGTGTGTGTGTGTGTGTGTGTGTGTGTGTGTGTGTGTGTGTGTGTGTACACATACTATATATATATATACTGTATTTGTCACACTGAATGTTGTTGGCGTGTGTGTGTGTGTGTGTATGTGTAGTCATCACGTGTTTAAGTTCAGTTACTGAAAGAAGAAGAAGAAGGAAGAGGATGGAAAAACAGAGAAAAGACAAACATGTAGAGCAACGGGGAGTACATAGGATATAATTATGTGCTAGACATAAAGTGTACGTCTATATCTGAGTAAAACACAAAGATCCTTTAGCTACTGACCAATGGATGGTATCTATCCTTCCAAAGTTGAAATATAGCTCTTTTTGCAATAATAAGAACATATAGGATCCCATAAGAGTGGCCACTGATGAAGTTCCCTGTCACAAGAATATGATTCAAGGTGTAGACATAAGTGTCTACAAATACAAAAGTTTTTCTAATGGAGAACTAACAGAGTATATTACCCCCAACTTAAAAAAAAGCTGCTCATTCCCCTTCATGCATCACAAGGAAATATTATCTGCATGTCATTGCCAACCCATAGACACCATTCCCATTTTCTTCCTAAAATGGTATAAGAGAAGATTGGTGTTCATCTGGATAAGGCAACTTAGGCAGCCACCATTAAGGGCCCGGGGACAAAATTTCTTCAATGGTCAACATTGTGTTTTTTTAGGGATGGGATTTTCATGTTACCACAAATGAAAAAAGAGAGAGGCTCTTACTTTTGTTTTTATCTTCATTTGTTGATTTGCAAAAGAGAGACTCTGAAACACAACCATTTGTTTAAACAACATAGAAGTGCACAAACATTTTGTGGCTTTTTCGTCTTTCTCTCTTTTGTTTAACTTCTTTCTTCTGCTGCGCATAGAACTGCCAGTTAATTATTCATCAAATAATTGAGTCATGAATCTCATGATGAGGTATTATTAAACTGGCCAGGTATGAAAAACACCCCTGCAATTTGCACACAATTTTAACTGGAAAACCTGTAATGGATAGGTGTAGGTTAAATGGAGGAAAGTGAAACCAATGTGGAGGATATATCAGGGATCTCCTACCAGCTGTCCACCGAGTGAAGAAGTTACTTGGATGAGTAGTGAAGTGTTTCAGCCTAATAAGAAAGAAGTCCAGTTGCCATGACTCATCTTCCAGATAACCTCACCTGGGTGACTGAGAATCTTCACAGATACAAAGGTTAAACAGGATTAGCCAAGTGGGAAGACAAGACCAGGCAGGACACAGGACTAACAAGGGGCCAGAACACAAATCAATCTGGCCAAAAGCAGCTATATTAGTTGTTCATGCTCAACCCCTGGTTCTCGGGGTTCGTTTGAAAAAAGGACTTGCTTGCTTGCTTACTTTCCTTGGTTTTTGAGAAAAGGGGCTGTGTGTATGCTTTACTTAACAAGGAAATTCTCATTGATTGATGTGAAACCAGACCACCAAACGTATCAGTCTTTTTGTTTGTGAAATAATATATCTGTTGAATTGTTATATGAATGTTTCATGAAGTTACTGTTCCGCATTCAAGACAAATTGTTTTTGCTTGAGGGAAATAGTGGCAATTGAATTGTGAAGAGTCTCTCTGGCATGATTATTGCCAGGGGCAGTAGAGGAGGGTGCCATGTGCACCATCTCATAAGCACACACAGTCTCAAGAAAAACAGATTTGGTTTTGAACAAAAATTCCAGGAAAGCTTGTAAATGTTGAGTTTATACCAAATTGAGCCACTGAGAGATCTTCTCTGTCACTTATCTGTACTACATCTGCTTGCCAAAAGTCTAAATTATCGTCGCTCTGAATGATTTAATTGTTTCCTCTGGCTGCCTTGCACCTTTAAAGGAAATTGAGGATGTGTCTTTTTCTACAGTGTAACAGGGTTGCTATGGCAAAGCTGTTATTCCAGTAAGGAGAAGAGTGCATGGGTGAAGTGTTGATCCCTTTTCAGCTTTACACAAGTCTCTGATTACTCAAATGATCACATTTGCCTTGAAAGTGTGGCTCTCACAATGCAAAACAAGATATTCCAGCCAGCACCAACAGGCCAGCTCTTATTTCCGCAGCACACACATTTGATAAAATTGTACAGCTGATGAAATTATCTCACTCTGGGTCCTGAAAATTTGCTCTCCTGTTCTGTTGTTGTTGCTCTTGGGTTTCTTTGGCCCAGTGGGCAAGTCTGTTTTGTGCTGTGACTTGAAATTTAGTCCTGCGCTGTGTTGGACTAAGCTGTTCTTTTTGTCTGTGAAGCAAATCAGCTGCTGGCTGATGAGGGAAGGGGAAGATTTTTTTTCTTAATGGTGAAGAATACTGTACTACAGAGAATTTTAGCGTATACTTTATTCAGTGAATATACTACACTGATCTTACAAGTCCAGCTCTCTGCTTGTGTTCCCAAGATATGATTCTGGGATTTGTCAAAAGTAACATGTAAAGCCACCCCTAAATAATACCAATTACATAATGCCATCTGTCTTTGTGTGACAGAAACTAGGAATGACTTGTCTGTCTGTACATCTGTGCAGAGCGTGAGAGAGGTCTGTTATTTATTAGCGTTTTGTTGTGCCTCTCAAAATATTTGAAATCATCAAGAGAATTTAAATGTGGCGCCATGTCAGGACATTCTACACTAGGACTCTTAGATTTTGAAAGTAGTATGATTTATAAAATGGAGAAACTATACTTAGTTTTAGGGTTGCCAAGGCTGACATCTCAGAGAACTGCTGCTCTTCACACCTCCAGCTGGAGAGACTAATATCAGGGCAACTAGCACTGATTGAGGTACATCTCAAGTCTGAACATCCATTTCTATACATTCCCAGCTGGTGTCCAAGGCTTGCTGGTCCAGCTTGAAAGTGTTTTGGGGCATTTGCGCCAAATGGCCCAGCCGCTCCCTGTGCATGTACCCATCGGATTGGCTCTCTGCCAGTCCTCTTCCCTTGCTCCTGGCTTTTTGTCTTGCTGATGTTTGGTCCTTTGTGACTTGCTTTACTGCAGAAGTGCAAGGCCTGGGGAAGGAAACTCATCCTCCCAAACCTTGCCTGCCTTGCTTCTGAGACATCACAAGTGCCCACTCCAAGTTTCAGGTGTTGTCTTCGAAGTCTGGACCATGGGCTGTGGCTGATCTTGCAGGCCTACTTAGTGTTGACTGGGTTGCTTGTATGTGGGATGTTCCTTCTTTGATCTTGGAAAAAATATTTTGGGAAATGCTTGCCCTGCATGGCTTGACCAACAACTTTGATATCTAAGACAAAGAACAACTTGTTATCTGCTTTTATTCCATCCACAAAAGCTGACTGGACCAGTAAATGAATCCATCTTCACCACTGAAAGTGGGACAACATCATCCATCACAGCTTAATAGGCTAAGCTAGGAGGTACAGAAAAGACTCTTCTAAGAGCTTGCTGCCTCTTCCCACATCTGCTGCCTGATGCCACCACCTCACTGTGCCTGGTGGTCATGTTAACCTGGTGTAAGGCTGTTTGCTGTATTTCTGACACAGGAGGGAGCCTTCATACAACTCCCTTTCTGGAATTTACTCAATTTAGAATTTGTGACAATGTTTACGTTCCTTCATAAGTTTGAGCCTTTGATTGTTAATAACCATTTAGTTGCATGGGACTTAACGGGTAATTGTTGTTACAGGCAAATGTGAATGTGGCCAGTGCACCTGTTTCCCTCCAGGAGAATCCAAAATATATGGCAAAATCTGCGAATGTGATGATCGACAGTGTGAAGACATAGATGGCAACGTTTGTAGTGGTAAGATATCCTTAAAATTAAACCAGAAGTGGACAAGTATTGGTCCCTGAACCCACCTGGAACTTTACTTTACTCAACGTGCCGGATTATGGAATTTGCTGTTCCATCATTGCCTCATGCTTGGAGGCTAGTGGAGAGGGGGAGGTCTCATTTTCACAAGGTCTGCAGGGAGTGTGCATCCTTTTTAAAAGCCAAGTTGCCATTCCAGGAGGCTTCTGGGAACATGTTTTGAGCTGCTTGTGTTTAAAATATGAATGGAGGGAGGATGCACTTGCTGCTCCACCAGTTTTAGCTGTCTGATGGCAAATACAGCAGCAAAGGGAGCAACACAGGCTGCAAGGAGCCACGGGTCATGTGTTATCCACACTGGAATTAAAAAAAAAATATGTCCAGCATAATTCCTGGTTTTAGTTTATCAAGAAAGGTTGCTTACAAATGACCTATACATCTGACCTCCAGCAGCTCCCAGTTATGTAGGCTGCCTGAATGGCACAGTGAGTTGGGTGGCTGGTTGCAGAGCTAAAGTTTGGGAATTTGATTCCCAACTTGAGCTGACTGGGAGAGAAGCCAGTCCGTGTAACCTTGAGCAAGCTGCATAGTCCCAGGGTGCCCCCAGATGAAGAGAATGATATATCATTTCTGAGTACACCTAGAAAAACATATAAAAAGGTTGCTATAAGTCAAATTGACCAGCAAATTTAATTGAAATGAACAGTTAGTAACAAATTAGCTTTTTTTTAAAAGGCTGTAAATGATGATGGATAAGATACACAGGAATGACCCAAAGATCTGTAATCTTGAACTCTTTAGTTAATAGCTAGGAGACGTTTCAGGGGAACAGAAAGCCCCCATGTGCTACAGGCTTTCAACTCTTCATGGTTCTGTAAGCTGTAGAATTCTGGAAACTATGAAAACTTCCACCTTGTTTCCCAAAATGTGCAACCAGACCTACAGCTGGAGGGCATAGGGGAAAGACATGCAGACTCTGTTTTGAGCTGCTTGTGTTTAAAATATGAATGGAGGGAGGATGCACTTGCTGCTCCACCAGTTTTAGCTGTCTGATGGCAAATACAGCAGCAAAGGGAGCAACACAGGCTGCAAGGAGCCACGGGTCATGTGTTATCCACACTGGAATTAAAAAAAAAATATGTCCAGCATAATTCCTGGTTTTAGTTTATCAAGAAAGGTTGCTTACAAATGACCTATACATCTGACCTCCAGCAGCTCCCAGTTATGTAGGCTGCCTGAATGGCACAGTGAGTTGGGTGGCTGGTTGCAGAGCTAAAGTTTGGGAATTTGATTCCCAACTTGAGCTGACTGGGAGAGAAACCAGTCTGTGTAACCTTGAGCAAGCTGCATAGTCCCAGGGTGCCCCCAGATGAAGAGAATGATATATCATTTCTGAGTACACCTAGAAAAACATATAAAAAGGTTGCTATAAGTCAAATTGACCAGCAAATTTAATTGAAATGAACAGTTAGTAACAAATTAGCTTTTTTTTAAAAGGCTGTAAATGATGATGGATAAGATACACAGGAATGACCCAAAGATCTGTAATCTGAATTAATGGACCGTCTTGAACTCTTTAGTTAATAACTAGGAGACGTTTCAGGGGAACATACAGCGGTTTAACCACTGCACCACAAGGTGTAGACTCACAGTGGCCCACTTTTGATCTCTTCCTCATAGCTGCCCCAGAGAATAAAGAGGGCAAGGAGTGTGCAAGGCTCATTTATGTCTGAGTCATCCCAACTTTTCAGTTGCATATTGTCAGATTTTTGCAGGTGGAAATGAAGAGCAGATTGTATAGATGTCGTACGACAGATGCATGTTAGCAAACCACATCTAGTTTGACACCATCCCGACTTTTTTTTAACAAACTATTCTTCACTTGGAGTATGACTTACACGTTGGCTCAGAAAGCCCATCTGTAAGGAAATGACAAGGAAGCCCCTGGTGCTGCAAAGGGAATGCACCTGGAGATGTATGATTTTGGGAAGCTCGCCGCTTATTTTGACACCATAGGAACACTGGTTTATTCAGGCTGCTCTGTATTGAATAGGCATGAGAATCAGGACCTAACATCAGCCTCCTTTCTCCTGCATAAGGTTAAGCCCCCTTAGAAGACTGGAAGAGGTTGGGGCAAAGCTTCTAGATGAGATGCCTACTAAAATGAGGGAGAAAAAGAGAGTGGTCACGGTAGTGATCTGAATAAGAATTGTCACCTGCCTTCTCTTACTAGTAGAGATTGATTAATAGCTTGCTTTCCCAACTGTGGAGCCACGTAGAGAGAAGAATGTGATAGATGAGGGAGTAAGAAGTCGTGATCTTGCATGATTATAGTGACTTCAAAATACAGCTCTCCACTGTCGGAAGGAAAAAAGGAATGAGCTTTCTCAGCAAAACCTGGCCTCTACCTTTTTAGCCTTCTGCTCTAAGTAGAAAGAGTTGAAGCCCTAAATAAATTGTTCCATTCTGATCACAGGCTAAGTGCATTCATGTAAAAGAATGCCATTGATTGCGATGGGACTTATTTCCAAGTAAATGTGTTTCAGATTGCAGACTTCAAGCCCTCCTTCTCTTTGGCATATTGATCGAGGTTAGAATATTCTGCCTGCTTCAAAACTGAATCGTTTTTAAAAGAAAGGAATGCAACACCCTGCTCCAACGGAATTAAAAGGTTCTGGGAGAATAAAGTTTGCCATGAGGGGGGAGTAGTACAGACTGAGAAAATATTAAACTCCATTATTTATACCGCACCTTCAGTATTCTCAGTGCATCTTACAGGCTTTTGTCATCCTCACAACCCCCCCATGAATGAGGACATTATTATTGCCATTCTTGAACTGGATGAGAGAAAAAGAGAAAGACAGTGAGGGACAGAAATCTACTGGTTAGCCAGTAAATTTATGACAGAGTTAGAATTTGAATTCTGTTCTCCACAACTAAGGGTGGTATCACAATTAGTGCTTAATTTGGGTGTGACTTGCTCCCTATAACAATGAACATGGTAGAGGAAAGAGGAGGAAGGGCAAGAGTAATAACCCAAAGCATAGATCTTTGTGGAAGAACATCTCTTGGTAGGGTTAGAAAAGTCTCAGCCTGAAACTTTAGAGAATTGCTGCCGGCCAGTGCTGACAGTTCTGATGTAGACAGATCAAATCCATGACCGTGATGCAATCCAAAGCAGCATTTGGTGTTTCTCGGATACTCAGTAAATGGTACCCTTCTGCTACTGTGGGCTGTGAGTGCTCTAGTGATTTCATCTCTTTGATGCTGAATCCTTTCCAAGACGAATGGTTGGCATCATCTTGAGTGATGAAACGAGGTTGTCCCTTTTTAAATAGCCTAGAAGAAAATTATAAGCCATTACCCTTGTCAGTTATTATGGTGTTCCATCCTGATTATACTTAAAAATAGCCAAAGATCTGTAATAACCAAATGTGTCAAAGTCTGGGGCTATAAGCATCATACTCCTTGATCGGGTGGGAGCTGAGAGGCTCACATTGGCTGAAATAGTATTCATTTAAGTTCCCTAATATAAAGCTGATGACATATCAATCAAGGCAACTTTGGGGAAGTTAAATTTTTCTCCTTCCTTCCCTGTCCCTCACAGGCCCTGAGTAATCCCTTCAATTGTCAGGAGCCCATGGAGGCTGTAGGATGGGAGAAGGAAATTTTTAATTACTGAAAATCACTGTCACCAAAATGATGAATTCAAAGGTCTTATCAGCTCAGTGCTTATCGGGAGAAAGGCAGCCTATAAATAAAATAAACAAATAAATAAATTTCACTTGCTAAACATAAAAAAGTTGGGATTTGAATGTTGGTGAAAGGGATGGATAAGAAGGGGTGATAATAGCAGAGAAGGGTGAGGGGGAAAGTGGGTGGGTGACATGTGGACACTTGAGACACACCTTCCTGGGATGAATAACACTTTAAAGTGAATCATGGTGGCATAGAGACGTTTGTGTCAACCTGGAAGAAATTTTGTGTGGTCACACCCTCACATGAATTTTTTTAAAGGGTTACCTCATTTAACTGCTCAGTATGGTACCAATTAACTCCTTTTTGACTCCTGGCTCAGGCTGCACTTGTACATTTAGAAAGGAAAGTCTTTGGTGGCTAAGGTTGCATACTGTGCATGCATCTATTCTCGTTCTTCTCTGTTCATTAGCAGTATATACTTGTCAATATACAGTACTTGTACTTTTAAAATGTTGTATATAAACCACGGAATTTTGTAATTCTTATAATGATCACTAGGATCAGTTTTTATTAAAGGTTGTACTACCATAAGTCAAACATATAATGGGATAGGCTTAAATGTACACAAGTATGTTTAGTTTTAGAAGCAATATCCTTTTTCTGTATGTAAATCCATATCTGTGAATGTGAGTGCTGAAGGAGAACCCATTTGCCCATCATAACATACACAGCATATCATTATTATTGAGTGCTTAACTTTATATATCAATTACAGTCCAAAATGAAGCATAGTCAGTAAATGGCCTAGAAAATGCAACCTCTCTTGACACACAGTGGTTTGGGGGACTATTATGCACACAAGTAAGAACAACTCAAAGACATTCAGGGGGGTAGAAATGGAAATGAGGAAACTTTTCTCTTTCCACCCCAGTCCTTGGGTATTACAAGGAAGGACCAAAGGACTGATTCACACCTCCCTCTGCAAGCCTTCATCCTTCATGCACACCAGTGTTTGCAGTGCAGTGTACAGAGCCAGTTTTGGACCCACAGCCAATGTCTCCATGTGCCTGCACCTGGAATAACAGGAAAAACACTTAAGTCAACAGGTACTGACTGGCCACTGTTAAATAGGTGCACCATCTTAAATCCCAGGATTGCAGCAAGAGGGACAATAGCACCAGCCGAACATTATTTGGCCTCTGAAAAGTGAAAATGAAGCTTTCACTCTCATTTTATCAGCAGGTCAGGAAGGTTCACAAAACTGGTAAAAATGTATAGGGGCATTGTTTGTAATAAAAATGACAACCAAAATGTTGGGACGACCTCAGACTAACCTCCCTCACAGCTTTGTTGTGAATGGGAAATGGGCATGTCATCTTGATTCCTCGTGAAAAAAAAACAGGAAAAGAATAACATTGTCAAAATAGTTCTGATTGCCTGCCTTGTTGCCTCTTATTCCAGGGCATGGGATCTGCTCCTGCGGCCGATGCATTTGTCAGAATGGGTGGTTCGGGAAGTTGTGTCAGCACCCAAGGAAGTGCAATATGACTGAAAATGAGAGCAGAAGTTTTTGTGAGTCAGCGGATGGCATATTGTGCTCAGGAAAGGGTAAGTGAGGGGACGTGAGTAAAGCTGCATACGAGCATGTTCCAAGAGATTAAAAAGCACAAACCATGGGTTATAAATTGTACTCCTTTCTTTCTCAGCCGTCTTGCTGTTAAACAGCTATTCATGGATGGCTTTACAATACATAGAACTTATTGTTGTGAGGTTCTCCGTAGTGTATTCAGAAGCCTTGCTTTCAGGCCGTGTTTTTCAACAGCATGCAATCTGATTTGGAGGTGGATTTGTGGGTGTATAAATCTATATGGGGCCTTTGTATATTAGGAGCTACATTTTGGCATTGTCAAGTGCTCTAAAGTAGCATGTTTTAGACTTGGCAAGACCTCTACAGCTCAGATATTAAGTCTAATCTAGCATAAAGAAGATGGTTTTGAAGGACATAAAATAACTGGAACAGCATTTGTCCACCCTACAGCAGCATATGATACTGTCCACCTTCATTTCTGCTCAAAAAGCTCAACCTCTTTGCTAAAGATCATGGATTAACAGAAATGATTGTCATTCTTCTTCAAAACCAAAGATTCTCTGTTGAATTTCGAATGAGGCACAGTCACTGGAGAAATCAAGGGCAGGGCCCCATCTCTAGCACATGGGGACCTTTTTCTCATTCATGGTTAATGTTAGTCTAGAATCACCAGTGACTTCCCCAGGAAGAACTGTCCTCTTTCTAAATTAGCTTTATTTTTCCTCCCTCCATTTCCTCCCTCCCTCCATTTTCTCCCTTGATTTTCTACATACATTTAAATAAGCTTGATGAAGTCCTCGGTCTCTCGCACCTTTCTTTCTTCCCTCCTTCCCTTGCTTGCTCCTTGCTCCTTTCCCTCCTGCTGCTTGTTTGCAGTCATTTCTGGAGGAAGCAGTCATTCAGAAGCCCCGGATTGATTGA